ATCTTAAGTTGTTGTTTTGTCACGGCTTATTTTTACGTGTTTGTGTTTGCGTAATGTGAATTTGATAGATCAGTTGTTGTAACTGTTTACTACCGATCTTTACTGTTTGACCTAAGAGATCTGGACATCCTTCTAGGTTTTTGGAGCCTTGACTTTGAACTGATTTATCAGTTTAGATTATTGCTTCTGGAATCTCTCTTAGTGCCTAGAAAGGTGTTAATCTGCACTGGCCTGGCTAGGGGCTCTATGAAGTTGATGTTGGATCTCAAGAAACCTACTGTAAATCAGTTTGTCCTTGCTTTCTCTTCTTTCTTAAGCAAAACAAAGATATAAGGATATTGTTGTTGACTAGCGTAGTCCTTTCCTTGTTGTCAAGAGTCAAGTGTATATTGTAGAGGGAAGGAATTGTTGCTATTGTTATCTCTCTTTAGAGTTGTTTCTTGTGAAAAGGTTTTTTCTTTAGAAAATTATTATAAAAGGAAATTTTCTGAAATTTTGAGGATCAGTGAAAAGAGTTTTTTTTTTTTACAATATTAATAAAATATAAATAATAAATTTGCAAATAATAAAATAACTATTATTTATTTAAGCTAAAAAAATTTTTTTTATTATTTCAATTAAGTAAAGTTTAAGATCAAGATTTTTTTCTTATTTTAATTAGGCAATAAAAATAAATATACTTTAATTTATATTAAGTTTCAATCCTTTAATTATAATGAAAATATATTTTTTTAGAAATTATTAAAAAATAACATAATAGATAAGAATATTATATTTTCTTATTATTAGAAGGTAAAATAATTGTTAAAAAATTTAACCTTTTAAGTAATGAAAAATATTCATTAATAAAATTTTTTTAATTGAGTATAATTGTTGAAAGATATTATATTGAAACAATATAATTCAGGTTTATAAATTATATAAGAATCTATAGTCTATTATAAATTATCTGTTTATTATAAATGAATATAAATTATTATTCAAAAAGATTATCTTATTAGAAATAAAGGTTTTTACTAGATGATAAGTTTTCTTATATGCAGTAGTATATTAGAAAAAAATTAAAATCAAGAATAAATAAGTTTTTTAGATAATTAGAAGAAAAATGAATATTTGGATATTTTTTATTAAGAAGAAATTTTTAAATATAGATTTTTAAAAAAATTTAAAGAATTCTCTTTTAATTTTTTTTTATTTCCTATAAGTTTATTTAAATATTCTTTTTTTCTTTTTTTCAGTTTATCATTTTATAATTTTTTGTATTTTAATGATTTGATAAAATATATAGTTATAACAATTTATTAATAATAAAATAGTAAACTAGAAACATATTTATTCAAAGTTTATTATAGAGTAAAATATTGTTTTTATGATCAAATTTAAAAACTATTATTGTTTATAACATGTTTATTAGTTTTGATAAAAATGTTTAACTTATAATATATATTATATTGTTTGAATAAAAATATATTTATGTTTTTAATTAATTAATAAACTATAATCTAATTTAGTTATGGATAATAAAAAAAAAATAAAAATAAAAATAAAATAAAATTAATTATATTAAAAAATTAAAATCTAAAGATTTTGTAAAAAAAGATGATAAAAAATATTATAAAGATTATTGATAAGATAGATTTGTTATAAAATAGAATGATTAGATTTTTTTGTTGATTCTTTAACTATATATAAAAAAGATATTTATAAAAAGTTTTTATATTTCTATTACTTTTCTTAAATCAACTTGAAAAAACCTTAAGAATTATTATTATTTCCCTTTTCTCTTGTTTATAGTTTTCTTCAAATAAAAATTTAATATCTAATAATCATAAAAATCAAAAAACTTCTTTTTTATTAATAACAAGAAAGTTTTAAAAGAAATAAAAACAATATATTATCATTTTATACTATAGATAAATAATATAAAGTATCTGTGATAACAAAAAACAAATTTTTCACTTTATTATTTATACTTACTTTAATAATAATTATTCTTGATTTTTTTGTGAAATATTGTTTACTTTAATTTGATTTTGAATTTTATATAATACAAAGTTTTTTAAATAGTGAATAAACAAATAGTTTTTATTAGCCACCTTATATATTTAAATATATTTTCTCAAATTTATAAAAACCAGGGATTTATCATAAATCAATTGATCTTATATGTTGATGAATATAATATACTTTTTTGATCTTATTATTGGTTTTTCCAAAAAAGTTTATCTGATTATAAATAAGATTATAAGATGCTATAACTAGATTTTAAGTTATAATTATTATTTCTAATTGTTAGATAGATTCTTTTATTGGTTTTGTCAAGTAGGTAAATATTTAAAATACCAAATCCTTGTAATAAAGTCATGTTATTATAGTAGAAGTAAATAGAATATCAAATTTTTTTTAGAAAATAATATGGTTCTTTTGAGCATATTTATCAAGAATTTTAAGAGGATCAATAAATCTTTTTTCTTATATACAAATTGAATTGATTCAAGTAGTTCTTTTTGATAACAAATTATTTGATGAATTAAATAATTAGAATTTTACAATATGGAGATATTGAAAGTATCTAAAGAATAAACAATATGTTTTTAATTGAAGAAATCCTCAAAGAGTAATCAGTCTATAGTATTAAAGTGATAATAATAGCATAAAGTCTTAATAGCTTTATTTAAATTCTAGGAATGTTTTATTAGTAATTATTTCTTGTATATGTATTATGCCTTGACTTGAAAATTTAATAAAATGAGATTAAGTCATCATTTCAAAAAAAAAAGAATGATTAGATTTTAAGTTATATGAATGATCTATAGTAAAAACCTGTAAGCAATTATTTTATGGATTAAAGGCTAATTTAAACCAGCAAAAGAATTAAATGTCATTTCTTAAGTTGCATTTAGAGAAATAGTTTGAATAAGTTAATACATAAAGTCGTATCAATTCACAAATATCTTATAGAATAAAGAATGTCATGGTAAACTAACTGCGGGTTAAAATTTTTATTTGTTTGAACTATTGCTCTCATTTCTTAAATAAAAGATCTTTGAATATACAGTAAATTTGTATTGACTGGCTCTTTCAAGTTTCTTGATAATCCCTTGTTTGTATTTTCATTGTGTAAAGGCTGCGCATTGCTTTCCCATATCAATATTTAAAAACAATATGCCATTATATCATTGATCTTTGCATTCTTTCCAATATGCTGTAACTAAATAATTGAAGATATTTTTTATATTAAACAAGTTTATGTAAGTGTTCGTTTTTTTATATTTAAAGTCAATGTGACATGAAAGATTATTCAAGGTGAAAACCGATTGACTGGCATCAAAAATAAACGCCAGTTATCCGCGACAAAAAGTTTATCACATGCGCCTGTTTTTGGCACACAATTTGTCGGTTTCTTAATATACTGTGATAGAGGACAATAATGATAACATTTTGCTTTCATCGATGACAATGAGGTAATGTGCAATTGTGAATGAGGCCCAGGAGAAATTTGGATATTTCCCGAACCCGCAGACACTGGATGCGAGGTTGAACCGTATTTAGAAAGTTCAATCACTTCCTTAATAATGATTTTTAGTGCGTACGAATGTAGATAAGTTACGTGCGTATCTTTAAAACTATATTGTATAGATACAACGGTATAACAAAGAATAATGATGCTAAAATTGTTAATAATCATTTTTCCGACTATTGTTGGCGTTCAATTTTTTTATAGATAGATTAACAAAGAAAGCACAAGATTTGGTAGTGATGGGGTTCATCTCTTTTGGTTTTCATGATTTGTGTCAAATCCTAGTTGGACACGAACGTTCATGCGTGGAGAAATAAATGTAGGCTCGAGAATAAACAAAAAAGGATGGGGTTGAACGGCTGGTGTCGAGTGTGACGGTAGAGTGAGGAGATCATTGATTTTAAATTTGATGGGGGACAAAAATTTTTGAACAAAATTTTTTTCCTTCAAAAATTTATTTCATTATTCGAGTCTGCAAACGCCCCAATGACAACGCTTCAGTATTTGACTGCGTTTCATCGTTTTTATGCCAGTGTGTTTTTCTCTTTTCTCGTTACATAATTCGATTATGATATAAACAAAAGAATAAAACAATAGAGCCATTAGATTTTTCATTGTTTTTTTTTTTTTTTTTTTTTTTAGTAGATCTTCGCAAATGTTATATGATACCTGCTACCGGGTATTAATTAACTTGCATATGTCACCGGTCGTGACATTTGGCGTTGTTGAGTGAAAAACTCTGTCCAATCATACTGGCGGGATTGGTTTGCACGTAAACAGTGATCTGCATAATACGTATTTATAATATTCCTACCGAGGTTATTAGGATAAAACCTCAGCCAAGGACTACCTCCTCGAATATTACCATCGAAAAAGAATCTTGCCATCTCGTTTCACGCACGTGTTATGTCTACAGTATTATCAGATCGCCAAAAAGAGGAACTGTAAGTGTATTTCATTCATCTCGCTCGAAAAGAATAAGTGTGGGAGATTTCCTACATCTCGAATAGTTAGGTATCACAAAAGCGAGGTGAAGTTTGTCGTTGACTTGAACTTCTGTATTTCGGAAATTCGAACAGACCACAACTACATACTATTCCTTGCTTCGTTTCTTTGATAACCTTCTTTGATATCTTTGTCCACTTGGCGTTAACCCAGTCTTTTTCTTTTTACATCTTGCCATTTTTCAATAATGTAATGTATTCGATTGACTAATAGTCACAAAGCCATCCTCGATTACCTCTATGCGAGTGGATTCACAGAATCATTTAATTCTCTTAAATCGGAGGCCCACCATGATGATTTCAACCCGGATCCCAAGCAAAAATATGCTGGACTATTAGAGAAGAAGTGGACGTCGGTCATTCGGCTGCAGAAAAAGGTATTCGCACGAGAGTTCATTTTTATTCTAGAACTCGCTTATCTGTTAAAGATATCAAACGATCTCTGTGTCCGAGTACATTTTACCTTGAATTAGATCATGGATTTGGAGAATAAGATCACACAAATGCAAGATGAGCTGAACAGCGGACCTATCAGAAAGACCAATTCTACGGTTGATTGGGTGCCACGTGCGCCCGAAAAATACTCGTTAACAGGTCATAGAAATCCAGTTACGCGAGTTACATTTCACCCCGTGTTTTCCGTGTTGGCCTCCGCGTCAGAGGACACTACCATAAAAATTTGGGATTATGAGACTGGCGAATTTGAGCGTACTCTTAAAGGACACACCAAATCGGTTCAAGACATAGCCTTTGATCCAAAGGGACACCTTCTAGGTATCATTATTGCTATTCTTACTTTTCAAATGGTCCATGATCCACCATTTAATTTTATGTCGATATCCATCATCTCATATTACATGCAATTATTGCTATTTGTCATGTGTTCAGTTTCTTGTTCCGCAGATTTAACGATAAAAGTCTGGGATTTGCAGAATGACTATAAGTGTGTCAAGACTTTATATGGACATGATCACAGTGTTTCTTCCGTGACGTTCTTACCTCCCGGGGATATTATTATATCCGCGTCTCGTGACAAAACAGTTAAATTCTGGGAAGTTGCCTCAGGGTCGGTAATTCATCAACCTATTCTTCTTCTCCGGGGAGGGATCGACTCACGAAATTCTATTTGTTTCAATATATAGATTCTGCACAAAAACGTTCTCGGGCCATTTGGAATGGGTGCGGATGGTGTCGCCAAGCGAGGATGGCAAGTGGATCGTGACTTGCTCCAACGATCAGGTTTGTCGATTTTCGGTAATTCGCCTTTTTTTTTTTTTTTTCTGTGAAAGCGCGCAATAATTCCTATCTATTCAAGACCGCACGTCTTTGGGATGTCACATCTGGAGAATCGAAGATGGAATTTAGAGGTCACGACCATGTTGTGGAATGTGCAATTTTCGCCCCGGCTGCCGCAATCCCTTTTATACGAGAGATGGTGGGACTTGTCGTCGATGTAGGTCTCCCCTGTAATGCGTGCTATCAGAATAAATATATGTCGTCCCATCACTTACCCTTTCCTTCCTTCTTTTCCTTTCAAGCCAAACGTCAAGTCTAAGGATCAAATACTTCCGGGGCAATATATCGTCACGGGTTCAAGGGACAAAACCATTAAGATTTGGGATTCTACGGGTCAATGCGTGAAGACACTGGTATGATGCATGAAAATTTATTGTGGGTTCTTTTCGATCGCATTGACGTGTGCTAATAAAGTTATCTGCGTTCTTGAATGCAAGGTGAGTCACGACAACTGGGTTCGTGGTTTGGTCTTCCATCCCAGTGGTAAATATCTTTTTAGTGCATCCGATGACAAGACTTTAAAGATATGGGATGTTAAAACTGGACGATGCACAAAAACCTTAGAGGCACACTCTCATTTTGTAACGTGTATTGCATTTAATCCGACGAGTCCTGTGGTTGCTACAGGGTCTGTGGATCAGACAGTGAAGATTTGGGCCCCTTATAGATGAGGTCATGAATCGAATAGGTATCTTAATTGGAGATCAAAGGGTATTTTCGAAGGATGTCGGCTATGCAATTTTATCAAACATAGAATTTCTTTTTTATTTTATTATAAAGGACTCGTCATTATATTACCCTGTCCATTCCATTTATTTCTCGTTTGACCCTCTTATTATACTACTATTTGTCACCTTTATTTACTACTATTAACAAACCTTTCAATGATTTTGTATTTCTTTCCCCTCTCTTCGTTTCATTTAATCGTTTTGATCTTAAAAAAATGTGAAGTTGATCTGAAATATTACTAAAAATTTTATTTAATAAACGGGCGTAAAGTGGGATGCGCAACTATTTATTCTATTCATCGCCTTCTGATAGGCGGTCAGTCGGAAAACTGATAATGACTATGACCAACCAATCAAATTGATGTCTTGGAATATTATGTAGAAATTCTGAGTAATGATTGATCATTAATCATACAGATTACCTTGATCATCAGAAAACTTTTATCAGTTGTGGCTCCTTATTTTTAATCAAACTTTAGAATTATTACAAATAGTGGCATGAATCGTATTTAAACGTTACTAAAAATTACATCACCATTTAGCATACATACAAACCCGAGCCCCACAGGCTTCAAAAAAAAAACCAGATAAATATAAATACTGTAAGAATCAAAGTTTTTTTGCAGATGCCTTGCTTTTTTTGACGAAAAATTTTCATCTATCTCAAGTTTACAGTGAAAAATGTTCGACCAACTTGACGAGCTTTCGATCAACACCATTCGCACGCTTGCTGCCGACGTCGTACGCAAGGCGAGCTCTGGTCACCCAGGTAGGCGACTTTCTGTTCACGACTTTTGAGCTGGAATCTGAAATGAGGTTACATTTGACATGTTCGCTCAAGGTGCTCCCATGGGCTGCGCACCAATGGCACACATTCTTTTTCAAAAGTACATTTTGGCTAACCCTGCGAATCCGAAATGGGTACGTGCAATGGAAGAGTCTCGAGTGTGTGCTAGGAACGCAACTTGATCTTGCATTCTTTATACTTGTTTTGATTAGCCTAACAGGGATCGTTTCGTCTTGTCTAATGGTCACGCTTGTGCTCTGCATTACATTTTGCTTCACTTGCTCGGTTATAACATGACCATGGGCGACCTGAAAGCGTTCCGCCAGACCGATAGCAAGTGAGCCCGAATTCCTATTCTCGTTAATTGTATGCGAAGATTTTGTCCCCAATTTTCTTCTTTCATAGAACCCCCGGGCATCCGGAGTCGCATTTAACTGAAGGCATCGAGGTTACCACCGGGCCCCTGGGTCAAGGTAACTTGGCTAGCACGAAAATTGATTTGCGTCGCGTCGCTTGACTGCTCACGTGATCTTAAATTTTGATAAAAAAAAAGGCTTCGGCAATGCTGTTGGATTGGCCATGGCGCAAGTGCATCTTGCCGCAACCTTCAATAAACCAGGTTATGAGTTGTTCTCAAATTACACCTATGTAATTTGCGGTGACGGTTGTCTGCAAGAAGGTGTCGCATCCGAGGCTGCTTCCCTTGGCGGGTAATTATTCTTTTATTTCAAAGTCCCCGTCCCGTGTAATGAAAACGGTGTTATTATTAACCTATGTTAAGTTTTTTAGTCACCTACAACTTGGAAACTTGATAGTCCTTTATGATGATAATCATGTTTCAATTGACGGTAAATGATAATTGCTGAGCGGAGGCTGATCAGTTCTCGCATGAGTGATTGCTTGTTAATGTATTATCCGTTTCTCGGAAATGCAGGTGACACCGCTGTGAGCTTCACAGAAGATGTCTTAAAGCGTTTCGAAAGCTACGGTTGGCACACGCAAGTCGTAGAAGATGGTGATAATGATCTGTTAGGAATCTATACGGCAATTGAAAATGCGAGGAAGATCAAGAATAAACCATCCCTCATCAAGATCAGAACCACCATTGGAATCGGTTCTAAAGATCAAGGCACCGAGAAAGTGCACGGCAGTCCCTTGAAACATGAGGACATTGTTGAGGTCAAAAAGAAGTTTGGATTCGATCCGGAGCAGCATTTTTTCGTGCCAAATTCGGTTAGTTTAAAAAGATACATTTCCATTCACTTACTTCACTCACATCTAACGCAGCCCGCTCGTTTAGGTTTACGAGTATTATGCACAATTTCGAGAAAAAGGTGCTAGAGCCGAAGTTCGTTGGAATAAACTTTTGGAGGATTACGGTTCAGAATATCCGCAGTTGGTGAGTTTTGCCATCACTCACTCTTGCATGTAAGTCGTTCCTATCGGCAAACTCACCGATCAACTCCCCCAAATTCTAGGCCGCTGAAATCAAGCGAAGATTCGCGAATAAACTGCCGGAAAATTGGGAGAGCAGTTTGCCACGTTATTCCCCTTCAGATTCTCCAATCGCTACCAGGAAATCGTCCGAAAATGTCTTGAATAAAATTGCGGATGTTTTGCCTGAATTATTTGGAGGTTCGGCTGACCTGACAGGTTCCAACCTGACGCGATGGAAGACAGCCGTCGACTTCCAGCCCGATTCTACAGGTTTAGGAAAATACAGCGGTCGTTATGTGAGATACGGTGTCCGTGAGCACGGTATGGCAGCTGCAATGAATGGTATTTCAGCATATGGTGGTTTGATCCCATTCGGCGGAACGTTCCTGAACTTTATTGGCTATGCTCTTGGAGCTGTCAGACTGTCGGCGCTTTCTTCGTTCCGTGTGCTTTACATAATGACTCATGACTCTATTGGTCTAGGTGTGCAAATCTTTTCATTTACCTGAATTTCATTTGACAGTTGAAATTTGACTCTTGCTTGTGAATTGCAGGAGAGGACGGGCCAACTCATCAGCCGATTGAAACGCTTGCCGGCATCCGCGCTTTACCCAACATGTTGGTTCTCCGTCCTGCCGATGGTAATGAAGTATCTGGTGCTTACCTTGCCGCGATTAATAACCTCCACCGCCCTTCAGTGCTCTCGCTCACTAGGCAGAATCTTCCTAATTTGGAAGGCTCCTCGATTGAGAAAACGCTCAGAGGTGCTTACGTCTTGCAGGAGGTCGAAGGTGCTCACATCACTTTGACGGGATCTGGTTCGGAAGTCTCGATTGCCGTCGATGCAGCAAAATTGTTGGCGGCAGAAGGAATCAAGGCCCGTATCGTATCTTTTCCATCATTTGAACTTTTTGAGGAACAAGATCTGGAGTATCAGTTGTCGGTCTTCCCTGATGGTATTCCCGTGCTGAGTGTTGAGGCCCTTTCTTCCTTTGGTTGGTCAAGGTATGCGCACGCAATCATCGGCATGACGACCTTCGGATCCTCTGGTCCGTACAAGGATATTTACAAAAAGTATGGTTTCACCCCCGACAATATCGCGGACAAGGCAAAGCTGACGATCGATTTCTTTAAAACTAATCCCATCTATTCGGTCATTCGCAGACCATTCGTCTAGATGTGATTAATTTTTTTCTTGTATCGAGATTCACATGTAAATTTAAGACAATGTACATTATTAGATGGTTCACATTCCAATAATAGCATTCAATTTTTTTTTTAAAAAAAATTATATTTTTTTTTTGTCCATTGCATTGTTAAATGTACGCCAATAATGAATTTGTGAAAAAGAAAAAAAAGTTTTTTTTATTGTTCCGATCAAGAGAACTTACAAATATAAAGGTATTGGATAATGCTGAGAATAAAATACAAATTGAGGTGGTTTTTCTTTTCTTTTTTTTTTTGCGGGGAAAAAAGAGAAAATCAAAGTGTCTCTCATTGCATTGAATTATATAAACAAAATACAAGGAAAGATGATGGTCTATACTCGCAGTGAATAATTGTATGAAAAAAAGAAAATCAACTAATTTACAAGGAACGAAATACTTTTATGTTTAAAAAAAAGAGTTGAAACAGGATATTAATTAAGTAAAGTACTTTTTGGTTTGAAACTTCGAGAAATGATTAAAATAATAATATGTGCATGCATTAATGATTATATGCGTACAGAAAAAGGATCGTCACGAGGACGAGGCAGTAATGTTCTTTCTCCAAACGTTTGAAAATCGCATTGCAAACCCACTCATTCCACCAATGCCCATGGTATTGCCAATATTCGAGGAATTTGAAAATCCGTTTCGGTTCAAGTTCACACCGTTCGTCGATTTACCATTCACAACTCCTTGCACCTTCTTCAACATTGCCAGTCCCCTGACCTTTACATCGTTCGCACGCTGGATCGCCGAAGGCGTCGATGATTCATAGTAGACGTTGCCGTTAGTAGCTACAAAGAGGTTTTAAAATGTTATGCTCGATGCTTAATTTTCCGCGGGAAACAATATTCTCAACACAAGTATCATAATTACTTGATGGATAATAATCGTCGTCGTCACCGGACTCCGAGGACGCATCGACGTCCTCGCCATACATTTTAGCAAGGAGACGATTCTCCCTTAACGTGTAGGCCTTGAGTAGGACGACGGCTGGGTCTTGTATCGGATAATTCTGCAAACAAAATCATTGCACGATGCCTGTGTAAAAAGGACGTGGGTTCGCGAACAAAAAAAAAAAAAAAAAAAAAAATCCTCGACCAACCTGTAGCAGTTTGATGTTATCCGCAAAGGATCCTCGAAGAAGCTCATCTTTAACGCATCTGGATGGTAAATTTCTTCAGCACAGAAATTAATATCCGCGTGATCAAATTTGAAATACACTCACATTAACATTGCGCAAGAGAAGTCTAATAAGAATTCGAATCCACCGGCGGTTTCTTCGTCGTCATGATCGGCCAGTATGGAATCCCACAGTCGGATAACATCCGGAAGTGCAAATTCTTGGGACAGCATTACGGTCAACCAGCGAAATGAATAATAGGTGGGGTGCAGAGATTTCCTCTCCTGATATAGTTGATCACCATCGTTAACTCTTGGAAGAAAGGAAAAGAGATATGCATCTTTACACGTACATGTGTAGGGTATACACACGTTTATCGGGGGGATTGCTTACCAGATCTGCCCATAATTCAGGTTCAAAGGTTTTTAGGCGTCGGTTCATTTTCATCATAGTATGACCGATGCCCGTCGTGTCGTCCATGTCCAAACTCCTCACAAAGTGATCCCGTATGTGAGACATCATCAGCGTGAACACAAAGAACGAATCAGCTTCGGCATGTGCTACAAGGTAGTAGAAAACATCGTCAATCAAAATAATCAATGACGCCGCGGGTTGCTCGTGTGAATGGTTCGATTGTCTCACCTTTTCCACCCTCGTCGCTGTCATTTGCCATTGTATAATAGATGGGACCAAGGATTTCGTTCATCCCCTGGACATACCCTACGCCCGGATTCAATTTGGCGTATATAAACAAGATTCTTTCGATAGCCTCCCAGTGCAAATCGACCTCGTAATCATCATCACGCGAACCATCCGATTTGCAACTCGGGGACGGCGAGGATGACCTTCGCGCGCCAAAGTCCTTATTTAAGTGTTGGACACGCTTAAATATTGACCGACGGGTAGGAATGGGGGTGACGGTCTGGTGGATTAGATTGGAAACATCAATCGGCAAAGGTTTAGGACCTGTGGCGGAGAAATTCCTCTTCGGGTTAACGATCCCAACCATGCCACCTGATGAATTCAATTGAGACATCATCGCAAATTGTGATTCCATGGCGGTGACCTCCATTTCAAGTTCCGAGTTTGTCAGTATGGAATTACCACAGCTATTACTGTCGTCATCGTTCGAATTATCCAGGGCATCCATTATAGACGGTGACCTCGTGCCGTTTGTTCGGTTGATCTCTTGAGCCGCGAGCCTTGGACTTAGCGGGCTTAGGGGGCTGTGAGGGACGGGCTGCTGAAAGAACGCAAAGTCCGGTAACGTTCGTCTGACGTCTTTGTCTATTTGTTCTAATATTATGTTGTCGGCGAAATATTCGGCCCACTTGGAATTTGGTGCAGAATTTAAAGGCTAATTAGGAGATTATCATTAATATTATCTATCTTTATTCTTTTTTTTTTTTTTTTTTTTTTTTTTTCCTCCTTTATTGCATGCTATCTTTTGCTCTTTAGCATCGTTGTCTATGTCTAGGGATGTAACAATGTCAATTGTAAAATGAATGGTAATTACGTGATCGTCGGTATTGTGTGGACTCCTTAGTTCCTCTTCGCTTGGGTCTGCCAGCAAATCCCTGACGAAACTCTGTGAGTGAAAACAACTTTTAGGGTCACGGGTTCTTGGGCATAAATAGTATACATAGATAAATAAATAAATATATATATGTTGTTTGGGCTCGACCTTTACATACATAATAAGTTGCTCTTTGCTCGTTAAGAACTCTTTCCCATTTTCTTTTGTCCGGTGGTAAATATCCCAATAGGATCTGCGGAATGATAAATAATTATTAATAATGTTCCGACAAAGAACCTCCCGAGGTAAATTCACCCACAACCAACCTTCCAACTTTTCTGCCTAATGCCAGGTTTGTCGGGAATGCCTGAAGTTCAAAGGTGAAAATCAAGTGAAAAAAAAAAAAGGAAACGCCTTTAGTTCAAGCATCTCACAACACATTATTCTCCAACAGAATCGCCCTCGACCCGATTCTCACCGCGAAAGCACAAATGTCGGAATTTGTACAGATCTATTGTGGGATCTTGGGACAGGTCTTTTGTGCTCAGTATTGATTCAAACTGAGAGAGTCTGAGTGTGAAATTCATATTTACGAAAACCAGTTTAGTTTGGTGGAGGTTAGGATGCACAGAATTTAAATGCGGCTGTGTCGCCAAGTGTAACTGGAGATAACTTTAAAATAACGGGTTTATTCAAGATACCTCTCTTTGTAGTCCATTCTCGTATCAAAGAAATAAAAAACAATAGTAAAATGAAGAAGTAAACAGCGGTGTTATTGAAATCGTTCCTTGGCGCCTTTATTTCCGAGGGCTCTGTGTTTTTTCCTGGTACTCCTACTCTATTGGATACAGTCCTCGATACCAAAATTTGTCAGACACTGAACAAATTGCGCATGCGTGCTTTTTATATGCAACGGTTTTCCATTGTAGCACATCATATTCTTCGATTCGATAAGATAATAATAACCCAATGCGCCAGAAAAAAACTCCTATTATGCGCTTGCTTCGGAATTATATTATAGTTTTCCCCCTTGCCGATGTGCAGTGTTTGGGAAAATGCGTCCACTAGAATGGCAGCTACTAACGTGGCTTGGGATTGTTTACATGCAACGTTGGACCTTTTTGTTATTTCATATGAAGTCAGCTCATTATCGGTTTGTATGTGTTTGCGGCAAGTGACATTTTGATCATCAGGTGCCTATAATTGAGATTATCATTGATTTTTTGGGTTGGTCGCTTCATTCAATGGTTAAAGGATATGTCACAGGTCAAAAACAATGACAAAAACATGCGAAATTCGAACTCGGTATTAAAAATTCTTTGTTTAAGTAATTTTTAAGAGGAGGTCATAATGGTAATAAATACTTATGCCCTGTTACTTTCCAGGTAACAGACCAAAGTTCAAGTCAAAGCAGCCAACGGGAAGCGAAGAAATTGAAACGCCAAGGGGAACGGCGAGTTGATAAAACCTCAGACTCGCTTGATTTCAACTCGGGTAACGGAGGAGGGATCGACACACAAGAACGAGAGACAATAGGTCCAGACATCTTAAGGAGAGGACGGAAATTTGCGGACAAAGAAACGATGTTAAACTTAATTGATCAACTTAGTGTAAGGGAAGATGAACAAATTGCCAAAAAATTGCAGCGACAGGTTAATCAATTTATACATAATTGTCTTTAAGACTTGACTTAATGCGGGATGGCCTTTCTTTTTTTGCGCTCACCCAAATGTCAACAAATGCGAACACCACAAACACAGAGCCTAATCGAACGAAATTTAGAGAGACGTCGTATCAAACAACAGAAAAATCAATCTGCTCGCAGGGAAAGGATCGAAAATGTCAAGAAGATTCTCAAGCATAAAAGAAAACAAAAAAGGAAGACCAAAAAATTAGAACCAAAATTTAGTTAGGAAACATATTCTCTGCATTTGATAAACATTGCTTATCTGCCTTCGCTTTCTCTATTGTAGCATCCTAATCAAGCGAAGACTCCGATCAGATAATGTTTTCCAACCACTTCTTACTTAAATCGTTTCATCCAATCGAATACGTGCAGTATCATTAATACAACCCAATTTGGTTGAATGTAACTAACTACCAATCTGCCTGCCATTCATCAAAACCGTGAGATTGATTATTTATTTTCATGTTGTGTCTGTAACCTTTGGTTCCAAGGCGTACCTGCGACAACGTTGATTACGAATGTAAACAAATAAAAATTTAGACATAACGAGCTTCACCATAATGCGTACATTTTTACTTCATATAATCCTTCCGGCATTCCGTGTTGTGTGGCTTCTTTGAGCAAGTTTAAGCCGGCTTTCTGATATATGTCTTTGAGGATTGAGTCGGGCCTTTTTGTTTTTTTCAGATTCAAAAAAGTTTTATGAACGAAATGGCGGAATTGATTTAGAGGAAGAAATGAAAAATTGAAAAGGAAGGATGAAAACAAAAATTACGCACCTCGTAACACTACTGTCGTCCTTATCGAAACAATATCCAAATATGGATACATTTTCCTTAATACCGATCATCCCGTTCGGCTTCAAACCCTTCTTGCACCTCTTGAGGAACTCTTCCAGGTCACCATCCTTCAGATGCCCAAGGACCCATTGGCACCATATTAAATCGTATTTCTCCTCTTCCGGCGTGAACTCCTGTAAACCCGAGCACACGAACTTGCCGATCCTTCCAGCCTCCCTCTCCTTCGCCAAATATGTCCTTTCGGCATGTTGGATAAATTTCGGCGTGTACTCTACCAGATCGACCTTGTCAAATATTTTCAATAAGAAATGTTTCGAAACCCTTCCAATACCCGCCCCACAATCACAAGCGTATTGAGTGTCTATTCGAGGAGGGACCTTCAACACATTATGAGCACCTTTTTTGCCACGAACAAACTCCGAGATAAACTCCATCGAACCTTTCGTCTCAAGGTTAGTTACCGATCCGTACCCGCCGAGCATGCCGTTGATGGTGGGAGGTATCTCGGACCAGTAGTCTTTGAGAGGGAATTTAGCGAAAAGTGAATTGGCAAGGAATGAGAAAAGTTGACTCCAAACTTACCGAGAGCATCCTCGTACCATCGTTCCTTTTTAAACTCCGATGTGTCCTATATAATAATCGCAAGGTCAATAAAACGAGGCTTTTGCATGCATAAAACAAGGATAAAACATGAACCGTACTTCGTTCATCAAGAATCTCGAAAAAAGAAAAAAAAAGGGAATGTCCTACGCGTCGAATTGTTTCACAATGTGACGTAGTATATTGGTATTTTGTCATACGAAATTACAAATCGATAAATCAATGGTCAATCGATCGATCAGTCAGTTGTTTCTTAAGAAAAAAAAAAAAATGTTGAAGTATATTGCCCAGGCGCTTCGATTGTGCTTTTATGGTACCACTCTTTTTAGGTTTGTCTTGGAGCAGTTAATTTAAATGCCACCTTCTGCATCCGTGTTCTCTCCATCATTTCATTCATTTATTATTACCTGATTTAAAAGCTTTGCGATTAGCATAAACATTGTTCAGATATGCTCCCTGTTGCTCATATCCCCGTTCTCAAGGAGGCAGGTGTGGGACATTAATTCTCGCGGAGCCAACAGCATGTGGTGGGTCATGCAGGCAAGTCCTTTTCATTAGCCACTTGCATTGCAAAATGAACAGCATTTTAACCGACCGACATTGCTTTGATCAACAGTACATATTTGAGGTAAATAAGACATTTCGAATTATTTTCTGTTTCACTTTGAATGGCGCAAATACATATCATAAAAATAAAATAAAATCAATTGAAAAAATTATGTAATCCGTGTTTCCCATTGTTTCTCAAAAAAAAAAAAATAATAATTCAAAATTCAAAAAAAAAAATTTTTCAAAAAAAATTTCGGAAAAAAAATCACAAAAATACAAAAAAAAAGCGTCGTCATAGAGGAAAGATCACGTTCTCTGGTGATAATATTCCATCAAACGAGAGTGCTATAGTGATCAGTAATCATCGATCTTTTACAGATTTTTACATATTGCATTCAATCGCATTACGTAAAAACATGTTGCCACATATTAAATATTTTGCCAAGGATTCCTTAAAATATGTACGTATATGTTTGATTTTATTCTTGCACGTTTTCAAATTTTTTACGACTTAACTCTGAAACAATCCCGGCAAACCCGGTCAACTCACCGATCGGTTGATGCGAATGCACAGATCCCTTTCTTTGGATTTGGGATGTGGGTAAGTTGTTCGTGCATGAGCTGAACTGATGTGATTTCTTCTTCAAACCTTCACTTATTCCTTAATTAATCTATCTTCTCAAGTTAATGGGAATGATCTTTATCAAACGAAACTGGACCCAGGCATGTATTCCACCTATCACAGTCATCTATTTTTCTCATAGGGCTAATTAATCATCCGCTCACGATCAAATCCAGGACGAAGAACACCTCAGAAAAATGTTTAAAGCCATCAAGTCATATGCCGCGCCCATATGGGTGGTAAATTTTGTCGAAGGAACCCGATTAAATCCTACCAAGTTAAAAAATGTAACAAGCGATATTTCGTTATTCAAAAAGATTTTTCTTTTTTTTTTTTATTTTTTCTCTGATCTTCGACGACATCTCACTAGAGTCAACAGTTTGCGAGAGAGAGGGGCCTACCGGTCTTGCAAAATCTCTTGCTACCTCGTACAAAAGGATTTGTGGCCTGCGTCCGTCAATTGCGCGACACTCATGTGCAATATGTCTATGGTAATAAAAATAATCTGGTCTAATAATTTCTTCCATTCCAACAGAAAATAATGATTTATTGCGTATTTTAGACATCACCATAGCCTATCGTCACATCACCCGAGGTTTTCAGTTCCCCCCGAATCTCATTCAAGTTCACGCGTGTTCTCCATTAACGCCCCCCTGGTTATTCCACGTGCACATCAGACGTTATGCAATCAAGGATCTGCCCAGGGATGACAAAGAGTTGAGCGAATGGGTTCAACAGATATTTGTGGAAAAAGATTCATTGTTGGAGGATATGAAACATCGATGGACAGAGAGTGCCAGTTTGGGTCAAGTTCGTGAGGAAAGATATTTTGGATGATACGGTGGGAAAAAAAAAAAGAAAAGCAAGCATAGAAATGGATGATCATTATAAGTTAGAATATTGAGCCATTGTCCGTTGATTTTTTTTTTTTTCTTGTTGCAAAATTCAATTAATAAAAAATGATGCATGCTGTAGAGGACTCGAGATGCATGCACCCGTATGCATGGGGCACCGTCCAACTGATGGAAAATTGATTTGTCATTTGTAAAAGTCGTGCCATTTAGCAATCATTGTTTGTTTGTACGCAAGTAAGTGCACACTTAATGCCCAGCTCTTGTATATTTACATACGTGTACTTTCCGTATCGGGAGATTACTTAAAATTAAAGTAGGTCGTACAGCACTTCAGGCATGCCTAGTGATGAATAAATTGATTTGGTTCTTTGTGTAATGCGCCGGCCGTCTACGCCACAAATTTTTTACTGTATGACGTCGTACTTGCGTATAGGTTCAAAAAAAAGCATCACATATGTCATATAGCATATTATATGCATCTAAGTTTTCAAACGTGACACAACTGATTATGCTGATTGATTATACTGATTATTGTGGATTTTAAATTCAGGTAAAAGTAATATCGATATGCGAAGCATTATTAATTTCTCAGGTGAATTTGTAATAAAAGTAGTATGCGAAGTAATTTAACCATTATTAATTATCAACCTTATCCGAGAAAGCCGTAATGCGATATGACTGATCTTAAATAATAGAATAGGCCAACATTTAGTTAGTCACTGTTATTATTTCGAATTTAGTATGAGCCTATTTATATCTACATGAATAAATAATTGTAACTTTTTGCCATACATGATTTCTTTCTACTGTCTCATAACTAATTTCAATTATATTTACTCGATTATTTTTGGTTGAATATTTGCTTTGATCGATTAAAAGCTTGTTAAAATAAAAAAATTATATATATTTTTAATTAATTTAATTGATTTTAAGACATTTTATTTGTATTTCATTTAAATAGAAAATCTTTGTTTTTTTTTTGTTTATCTTTTATTGCTAAAAAAAAAATTATACAGTTCGGTGCAAAAGTCTTTGGACTGATATTTTTTATTATAATTTAATAAATAATTATTGAATTTGAATAAAACTTTAATATT